GCAGGGACTATGGACATGAGCCACCATACCTGGCTAACTTTTTGTAGAGAAGAGTTTTTGCTATGCAGCTTAGGCTGGAAGGTATGAGGGGGAACCCAAAAATTTTTGTAGAAATTTTTGTAGAAAATTGCATATTTATTCTTACATGTTTAAACTTCAGTCACCTTCAAAGTACTCTCCGTCTGATGCAATAAACCTATTGAGACACTTTTTCTACTGCTCAGAATAGTTTTTGAACTCATCAATTTTGATGCCTTTTAGTGCTTCTATTTTTCTGTTCTACCTCTTCCACATTGGCAAAACATTTCCTTTTGAGGACTTTTTTCACGTGGGGAAAAAAAATAAAAAGTCACTCAGGGTGAGACTGGGTGAAAAGGAAGGGCAGGTCACAGAGGTCATGCTGTTTCGGTCAAAAACTGCTTAACATTCAGTGTGTTATGAGCAGATGCATTGTTATGGTGGAAGAACCAGTCACCTGGTTGCCACAACTTAGGATATTTCTATTGCAAATCATGACACAACCTTCTCAAAATTTCCAGATAAAAATTTTGGTTGAATGTTGATCTGGAGGAACAAATTCCAGGTGTACTACAAGGGGCCAACCCTCCAAAAAAAAAAAGAAAAAGAAAAAGAAAATTCTGTTTTTTGGGGGAGTACTGTAATAAAATATTTTAACACCTAAACAGATAGTAGTAGTTCAGATAATACTTTACATCTTGGCATGCTGCAAGCATTCCTAAACTATTGTACCACAGAAGGTCACATTGTTAGAGAACAGCAGAGCCAAAATCCCAGCAGCCTAACTAAAGAATTCATGTTCTTTATCATTTCTCTGTCAAGACTTGATACTGAGGTTGTGCAAATTCATCAGGAAGCACATACAGTTTGGAATGCAAAGAAGGTGTGTGGGGAGAAATGATCCCCTTCTATGCCATGCTATGGACTGTGGACTTCGGATCTCAAAGACAGTGGGCCAAACCACTGTAAAATTTTTAAGCAGAAGTAACATGATTAGACTCTGTTATGTTTTGCTCCTTTAAGTTTTCTTAACATAATTTTCATTTTCATTCTAGTTGTGCTTTCTCTATCCCATATATTATTTTTTTCTGAGAAAACTACACTTTAAGAAAAATTCAATATACTTTTTATATATTTATATTTTATGTATTTTTATACTTTTTAATATATCTGTTTATTATATTACTTTAAAAATATATATATTCATTTAACAAATATTAAATGCACATTAGTTAATACAAGGAATTTATTTGAAGGATCTATGAAAAAATCTTATAAGATAGGTAAATTAAGGAATGATTATTTTAATCATAAAACAATAAAAGATTTATAGATTTATGTACAATTTCAGATTTGTGTTTTTCAAACCTACTACAGGAAAATTGTTTGAAGGACTTTGTTCTTCATATATTAAAGAATCATTGTTATAAAATGAAGCATGCATGCATTTTTATAACTGATACAAAGGACCTAGTTAAAAACTCCTATTACTAGTTATGCCGGTCAAACAACATTGAAAAATAAGTCTTCAAATGCCTCTGGTTAACAACTTGGAGGAGTACACTGTCAACTGTGAGGGCAGGATGTCCTATTTTTCAATAATGAGAGACACTGACGCATCATATTTTAGAAGGATTAAAATGAAATCCCTAAAACAGAATGGTTTACAGTCTAATCAACTCTGATACATTGTCTGCATTGATCTGATAAAAAGGTTCCATGCAGTCATGTGCTGCTTACAGATAGGGATATGATCTGAGAAATGTGACATTAGCTGATTTTGTCATTGTGCAAATATCATAGAATGTATACAGACATACCTAGAAGGTATGCCTACTACACACTTAGGCTGTATAATATGGCTTATTACTCCTTGGATACAAACCTATACAGCATGTTTTTATACTAAGTATTTCAGGCAATTATAACACAATGGTAAGTAGTTATGTATTTAAATATACTTAAAGCTAGAAAAGGTACAGTAAAATACATTATTATAATCTTATGCATCCATCATCATATACAAGGGGAAACCCCCCAAACCCAGAATTATCTTTTGGAGGGTGGGCCTCTTGTAGTACACTTGGAATTTGTTTCTCTGAATCAAATGGTCAACCAAAGTTTTTATCTGGAGATTTTGAGAAGGTTGTGTCACAATTTGCAGAAGAAATATCCTGAGTTGTGACAAACAGGTGACTGGTTCTTCCACCCTGACAACAAACCTGCCCACATTGTGCTGAGGGTTCAGCAGTTTTTGACCAAAAACAACATGACCACTGTGTCCCACCTTTCCTATTCACCTTGATCTCTCCCTGAGTGACTTTTCTTGTTTCTCTGGATAAAAAAAGTCTTCAAAGGGAAACGTTTTGCCTATGTGAAAGAAGTGAAACAAAAAACAGTAGCAGCTCTAAAAGGCATCAAGATTGACGAGTTCAAAAACTGTTTTGGGCAGTGGAAAAGTGTATTGCATCAAACGGAGAGTACTTTGAAGGTGACAAGTTTAAACATGTAAGAATACACAGTTTTTTAAATAAACACATTCTATTTTGGGGGGGTCCCCCTCATACGTGGTCTGTTGTTGACCAAAACCTGGCACATGATTGTGCGTATATACATTAATACATACATACACACACGTTGTAACGTAATACAAAATTAGCTTTCCTCATTGCCTATCTGAAATTAAACCTTTTGTTTAAAGGCTTTGCATTCAATTCTCCCAGTTTTTAAGAGTGTGGAAGTTAAGGTCTACAAGATTCCACAAAGAAGTTTCCAGAGTCTGATATATTTGTCACAAACTGCCCTTCAAAGTAAGGTGGAAATGTTCTTCCTAGTTCAGAGAAGTTCAGATATTTAAAAAAAGACCTGCCTGGGCAACTTGGCGAGACCTCATCTCTACAATAAATAAAAATGAGCCGGGCGTGGTAGCGTGCGCCTGTAGTTCCAGCTACTTGGAAGGCTGAGGTGGAAGGATTGCAGGAGCCCAGCAGGCGAGGCTGCGGTGGCCAGGAGCGGCCACTGCACTCCAGTCTGAGCGACAGAGTGAGACTCCAACTCAAAAAAAAAAAAAAAAAGTAGAATTTTGAACACAGATTAAAACTAAAACGATTTGTGGAACTAGAAGGGAAAGGAGAATGCAATAACTTTTTTTGTAATTCATAATTTAATTTGTTCAAATGAAAGAAACTCATACATTTTTAAAAAATATAAAATGAAGCCATAGTAAAAAAATAAATACAGAACAGTGTATTTTGAACACACAGAAATGAGGCTTTTTTTTTTTTTTTTTTTTTTTATAAGACTTAGTCACACAGTATATAAGACTTAAAATGTGTGTCTTCCTCAGCCAGGAGCAACAGAGTGAGACCAGCCAAAAAGATTGAGTCATATGACCCCTGACAAAGTTGCCAATGCACTTTTTCCATTTCATGTGCCCTGTGAAAGGACAAAAGTGGAAAAGCAGAACCAATTGTAATGTTAGTTTTCACACATCCTATAAATTGCAGTACATCAGCTGCTATATGCTGAATTAGCACTAGTTATGGAACTTTAGTAGTACTTGAATTTCTCTGGAATCCAACTTCTTAAAATGTGTTAAAACAGCATTGCTGAATAATTTCTCCTATGTAATTGGATGGTCTAACTTGGTATATTAGTCCCTCATTGATTTTGACTAAAATTATAATATTTACAGGGAAAAAGTTCAAAGAATACCATGAAAGAGCAAATGCTTTTATAGACATATTTTAAACGAGATGTTCATTGACTTAGTGTATTTGCTAAGGAAGCTAAGATCTCAGTTAATTTTCTTGTGTGCTTTGCTTCGTTTCTAAAACAGTCACCTTCTCAGCACTTGGTTAAGGCTTAAACAAATAAAAGGTTATTGGGTTTCCACCTGGTCGTTCAACTCTGCTAAGTATAGAGATGGTTCTATAGAAATCATACTTGGCTCATGTCCTCAGGGAGTTGGTCAAGAGATAAAGTTTAGAGAGTATGTAGGTGTTGTGCCAATCTACCACTATAACTGGAATAAACTTACCATAATGTCTAACATTTATTGAGTGTTCATAACGGAATCAGAAGCTTTGCATGAATTATTGCATATAAACCTTATGGCAGTTCTGAGTATTGTATCAAATCATAATTTGCTGATAAGGACACCTAGGTTTAGGAACGTTATGTAACTTGCCTAAGGTCAAAGGAATGCACACCTTTTTGTTTGCATCTACTGAGTAATTTCTGGGCTTGCTGGGACTCCACTGCTAGAAAGATCCTGAAATTCGCAGACTTGGGATGATGGCGAAGAAGAGGGAGAAATCCTGCCAAACTCAGGTCGCAGAGGCCCAGTCCTAATCTAGTCCTCCTTCAGGCTCGACTGGTCACACCTCATGACAGATAGCTCGAGGCAGGTTCTCAGCGCAAACTCTCCGTAAGCCAGGGCCTGGTGTGGAGAGAAGGGGCTGAGAAGTGTCAGAAATGAGAACGCTGTCCTGGTGGGAGAAGAGAAGCAGGGGGTCTCGAGGTGTGCAGCACACACACGTGCCAGGCTCCGACTTGGAAAAGCAACAAGCTCGGCGGGAGACCCTCCCGCGCCCGGAGGGCCTTTAGCTTTAGAACCAAGGCTCATCCTTGACCTAGGAAAGGCAAACACCACCGTCCCATCAAAGCTAAAGGGCAGACCTGGGGGCTGAGTGCACAAGTGCACGCCAACACACCTGTCTGTAACCTGCCGAGACCCGACAGAGGAACCTTCTCCGCGATCCGCCCCGGCTGCGCTGAGCCTCCACTCGCCGCCGCCGGCCCCTCCCAGCCTCACTTCTTTACAAAGCAGCAGCCGGTGCGCGGCGCGGGAGGACCCTAAGACGTCACTGACGCGCGGTCGAGCCTCCAGCCCGCCCCCGTGCGCCTTCCCTTCGCGGTGACTAGGCGGGCGGCCCGGGCAACCGATACCGAGACGCTTACACGCGCGCTACTGCTCGCAGCCGGGCCCCGAAGATGGCGGCTCTCAAACTCCTCTCCTGTGGGCTTCGGCTCTGCGCCTCCACCCGCGGCTCCGGGGGCGCCTGGTCCAAGGTAAAGTGCAGGCGCAGAGGAAGGCCACGCGCAGGAAGGACGCGGGCGGAACCCCGGGCGGCGCCCGTGTTTTCTCCTCTGCCCATTCTCACCCTCTCCAGCCCGGGATCTGGCATCCGTGGCGAGGTGCCCCGGTCGCGGACGCGCGCCGACGCGTTCCCGGCCTCGCCGCCCCTTTGGATGATCGCTTTTGCGGGGTTCTGCAACCGCTCTTCGGATAGGAGGAGACGCGGCAAAGGAGCGCGTAGAGAGGCTGAGAAGGGGCGGGAGGACGCCGGCCGTGCCGCCGCGCCCTTCGCGGCTCGCCGGCGTTTCTCCCTGCGCGCGTCTCCACCGCGCCGGCAGCCTCCGGAGCTCGCGGCGGCCGGAACGCAGGGGAGGAGGGCTCCGGTTTTCGGAAGGGAAGGCGTGTAGGCAGCAGCGTGGTAGATTTGAGTCTCCCCTCGCCCCCATGTGGGATCTCAGGGTACTGGAGCCCCTAGAGGCCCAGAACCCGGGGCCGGGTTAGCCACGGCCGGCGCGCGTTCACCGCCAAGGGGGCGGATGCTGGGCGCGGCGGGGGTGGAATGTCTTTTCCCATCCTCTCCTCCCCTATTTGGCTGTTCCGCCCGCAGCCTGGAGCTCTCGCCTGGGCGCCTGGCGGGCCCGGAGGGGAAACCAGCCTAGGTCTGTCAGTGGCTCGCGCGCGGTCTGCGGGAGTGATCGCCCCAACTCTCGAGGCCCTTTAAAAACCTTGTGCCGCCCTACCGCCTACTCTCCGCCGCCTGGTATCCGGAGGCACTCACCGTGAACTGTTGGTTGATGTGTGTTTTTGTCTTATGCACTGTCCTCGCCCATAAGCCCCACGGTACGGCGGGGTTCCTGTCTGGAGTCCGAGGAGTCTGTCTGGCACTGACCGAAGAGTGCCAGGTTCAGGAGGATGGCTTTTCCTCGGCCACCTCAGTAACTGCGGTAGCCTCTTCCTTGGGTTTCAATAATAGTCCTGAGCTTGGCAGAGTGTCATGCGTGCACACGAGACGTACTCACGGATAACTCCTGCCTGATACCCTTAAACTTCTGTCCCGCTTCCAGTCCTTGAGAGCTGAGAATAGAGAGGAGCCACTGAGCTCCTTCGGTTAGGTACTAGGGGTTGATCTAGAACTGAGCCATTTTACTCTTAAATGCTGCACCGGAAGCATTTCAATAACTCAGATAGCTTTGGATATATAAAGCATTCTTAACTGGGAACTTGACCTTCAGCCAGATTGCTGTGGGTGCTGAAGCACATGCAAACCAGAACATAGCAATACCCTTGAGTTGAAGTCAATAACTTCTCTCTTTTGGCAGTTACTTATTTGCCCAACTGTAATCTACTCACTTCGAGCCTTTCCTACCTTGAGTATATCATTAAACCATTTCTGAAACTCAGCAGACCTCCTTGAGGGACGAGATGCAAATTAGGGGTTTTGCTGTCTCTCGTTGACAGTCAACACCAGGGTTCAAACTTAACGACTTTCAAGCCTCATTATCTTAGGTCTGAGCCCTACTTTCCAGTGTTCCTTTAATTTATGACACTTAGTGCCCTCATTATTTATTTAGCACTTAAATCCCCACCCGCTACTTCTGTTGAACTGTACCACTTGTGTACTTGTTTAACTTTTCAGAGGTGTACATTGTCTTCTCAGCCAGATGAAAATTTCTTGTTGGCAGGGACTATATTGTATGCCTTTTTCTCAGCCTCTCTCAAGATTACACACTACTCCACACACATTCTACATGTTTAATATATGATTGAGATAACCTTGCAGGCAAACAAGTAGTAACATTGAGAGTTTTTCTGCTAAACATAATCAAGTAAAATGAAAGTTACCTTCTTAAATTTTTCAATTAAAACTTTCTTTTTTTTTTTTTTTTAATGACAGGCAAGCCCAGTGTGTCTGACTTGAAAGTGCATCAGTTTACCTGGAGACTTTATAAAACTGATTGCTGTGCCTGCCCCTTCCCCTAGGATTTCTAATTTAGTAGGTTCTGGGTGGGGGCCCCATACTTTGCATTAATAAGTTCCAGGTGACGTTGATGCTGCTTTGGACTGCCCTTTCAGAGCTACTCGCATGGACATAGGTTAGAATAAACTATTTTGAAAGTTGTTTTCTTTTCTCCATTACTACTGTAGAAGTGGGGAGGAGCATTTAATCCTATTTTCCATTCACTATATAAAATTATTAGTGGAAAAAGTTCATAAAACCATCATTAACAACTTACCCATCTCTCTTCCGTAAAACTATCTTTCAGCCGGGCTCGGTGGCTCAGCCTGTAATCCCATGCCTTTGGGAGGCTGAGGTGAGTGGATTGCCAGAGCCCGCGGGTTCAAGACCCGCCTGGGCAGCGAAGACCTCATCTCTATAATAAATAAAAATCAACCGGGCGTGGTGGCGCATGCCTGTAATTCCGGCTACTTGGAAGGCTGAGGTGGAAGGATCGCCGGAGCCCAGCAGGTCGAGGCTGCGGTGGCCGGGAGCGGCTACTGCACTCCAGTCTGGGCGACAGAGTGAGACTCCAACTCAAAAAACAAACAAACAAACAAAAAACTATCTTTCCTTAAATCTTTCTCCGACCCCAGTCTCCTGAGCGGTGAAACTTACTGGTTGACCCCCTAGATGTCACTCAACACATAAAGGTCTTTCTGACACAAAGTGAACCAGCCATAAAGTGGCTTTTCCCTTCTTTGTTTTGATCTTTTTTTCCACTGTGGCTAACAGTACTGGTATCCATCCAGTGTGTAAGCTGGAAATCTTGGAACTATCCTCTTCTCCTTTCTGTACTTCCATTTGATCACCAAGTATGATATGTGTGCCTCTTTTTGAAGTGTCCTCAGTTCTGTCCCTGAAACTCTCATTGGCAGCCATCTCTTTCTTATAGTTCCCCAATTGGATATTATGAGTGCGTATTAGTTTTTGTAATTATTTAGTGACCATTATCCTTGATGGTTTTTTTTTTTTTAGATTCATCATAGCAGGGACTATTCTTGTGTTTTAAAAATTTTATTTGTGGTTCAAGACCCACCTGGGCAGCGAGACCTCATCTCTACAATAAATCAAAAAATCAGCCGGGCGTGGTAGCGCGCGCCTGTAATTCCAGCTACTCAGAAGGCTGAGGCGGAAGGATTGCCGGAGCCCAGCAGGTGGAGGCTGCAGTGGCTGGGAACGGCCACTGCACTCCAGTCTGGGTGACAGAGTGAGACTCCAACTCAAAAAAAAAAAAATTATTTGTTTTAATTTTGTTTCTCCAGTATTTAGGATAATCAGTACAAAAAATTTTTGAAGAAATAGGTGAAAGAATGAGTTCCCCTGCCACCTTCCTGATTCTGGCTTTCTTAGAGTTGTGACATATTTGTTTCAAAAGCTTTGCTGTCCCTTCCTCATTGAAGGATGAGGTTGAAACTCTGTAAAGTAGCCTTTAAGCCCTTTTACATCCTGCCTCAATCTGCCTTCTTGGCCTGATCTTCATGAACTTCTCTCCACAGGATTTGATCTGTGACCACACTGAGCCTTTTCATATCTGTTTCCTTACTCATGCAGCCCCAATGTCCGGAATCTATATATATATATATATATGAGACTCTGACACACACATACACACACACACACACACACACACACACACACACACACACACACACACACACACACACACATATATATGAGACTCTGACTCAAACATATATATATCACTCTGTTGCCCAGGCTGGAGTGCAGTGGCATGCTCATGGTACCACAATTTTGATCTGCTGGGCTCAGGGGATCCCTCCACCTCAGCTTTCCAAGTAGCTGAAATTGTTGGTGCACATCACCACACCTGGCTAATTTTTTGTTTTTTATTGTAGAGTCAGTCAATGTCTTGCCAAGTTGCCCAGGCTAGTCTTGAATCCCTGGGCTCAGGCAATCTCCTTGCCTCCCATAGTGCTTCGATTATAGGTATGAGCCACCGCAACTGGTCTGATAAATATTTTAACTCCTGGCTAACTTTTCAAGCTTTCTAGCTTGAAGAATGAGCTACTCCTTCATCTGTGCTCCTTTAGAGGGCTGAGTATCCCTCCAGTGTTAGAGTAGATCATGTATGTTTTCTCAGAAACAAAGCAGACCCCTTCCTGTTATAGAGGGGTCTGCTCCCATCAGCTCCTTGAGATTTATTCATGTCACAAATGCATAACTGGCAGTATTTAGTTCATGTCACCTTTGGACACTGGTCCACTGTTGGACAGCTAAAGTGTTTATATATATAAATATCACCACCTCTTTACAGTAATGCCATGCTCTGCCTTGTGGCTCTCTGTGTGTGATCACCTGCATTTTACTGCCTTTTTCTTCTAGCATGGATCTCTTCACCTCTCCTCATAAAGTCTTTCTTCCCCTTTCTGCTTATCACTATGATACTTAAGTGGACTGTATTGACCTTTCTGTGTCGTGATTTATTTAACTGTAAGCTGCCAGGGTAAATACCACTGCATGTCAAAGTAATCTTGAAGCTAAGACCTGTTTTTGTTTTGTTTTTTTAACCCTCAACAAAGATCACCTGGATTAATTTGTTATAATAAGTAGTTCACAAAAATCTTTGTAAAATCAGTTTGTGTGTGTGTGTGTGTGTGTGTGTGTGTGTGTGTGTGTGTGTATGTATGTGATGGGCAGAGTGAGGAGGTAAAAAATTAAAACTAAACTTCAATAAATGACAAGTTGATCTTACTGCCTTGGAGTAGGGAGTGGAGAAAATCTTGCATTCCCCAAGGAAAGCTGACGTCTCCTGGTTATCTTCTGTACAGGCACAGGACTTCTGTATATATCATTACATAATCCTTACCACATCCCTAGGAAACAATTATCATCTTTTTGTAAACTTAAAGTCAAGTCGTTCCTCTTCCTCCCCACCCTATCAAAAAAGGAGAGACACAGTCGTTAAGTAACTTCAGACTCATACAGTTGTGGCTGAACTGGAATTTGAAAGAAGGATATTTTTGACCCCAAGAGTGTGGCCTCTTATGCCACACTGTCTCCTAAACTAGGTGGTAAGTTTTCTTAGAACAGATCTGTTGTAGTGAAAGTTGGTTTCTTGAAAACATATCAAATGTCAGTATAACAGGCAAATGTCAACAAATATTGTTAACTGAGTGAATAATGAAAAAACAAAGTTGAGTATCTTTAAGTTCTTCCTTATCTTGAGTCTTTCTCACATTTTCTGGAAAACTGTTGTTCAGACTTAACTTCTTTTAACTTTTGGTTATTTGGGTAAACTTACAGATTTTCTAAAATATTTTTGAGATATATTTTTTGGGAAAAGTGAGACAAGCTCCTTGATAATTTATTTCTGGTTTTTTTTTTTTTTTAATTTCTGTAATGAAACCACTAATTATCAGATGAAACAAAGGAATGAAATTCCTGACAGGTCTATGGTAATAAGCTTTTATATGCTTCCTGAATCTAAAAATTCTCTATGGGTCTATAGGGGAAGTGAGTTTTCTTCTAACATCTTTTTTATGGGATTCATATTTCTCAGTCTATGGAGAAATAATTCAGAGTGACTTCACTCCCCAGAATGTTTAGATGTAGATAAGTTCTTTAATTTTCTTCTTCTTCCTGCTAAGATTCTGATTCTTCACTCTTAAGTGGCGATAATGACAGTTGATTTATACATGAAAAAATAGGACATTCATAAAGATTTGTTTCATATAAATAATGAAATAGAATATGATAGATTTCACAAAACATGGAGAAGAAAATATTGTAATAGGGAGATCCTGAGGTAGAACACCAAAACCTTGGTTCTGGTCTTGCTTTAACACAGTTTTGAGTAAATCACAAGATCTTTATAAGCTATAGAAACTTGAAAAATGAGTTGTATTAGATATCTGTGTGTTTTTCTATTTCTTCTAGGAGATATTCTCAACTTTATTTTACAGTCCTTCTGTTTGCCTGTTTATTCAGGCTATCAAACCTGTGATTTCCAATACATTTATTTGTGTGTGTGTGTGTGTGTGTGTGTGTGTGTGTGTGTAAGAGATAAGCAAATGAATCTTTACTACTTAAGGATAGGAAAGAAAAGAAAAGCTCTTTGTGGCTCAACCCCTTTCCTTTCTATCTCTGCCTAGATTTATTTCCCAGGATTTGGGCAGTGTGCTCATTTATTCCACCTTCTTTGCCCGACCTTGATCAAGGTTGAAACTTAAAAGGACAACAGTTAGTTGTGTATCCTCTACCTTTGCAGCTCTCATTTGACTTTCTTTCAGTACAGTTCCCTTAAATGGTCTTTTGTATTGACACTTTTTATGAAAGGAGAATTTAGAAGCAGAAAAGCATGATAAGTTCTCATTTATGCTATTACCTTGACCATCTCAGCTTGTATCTGTCTGGGAGTCTGACTGGTATTCATAGAATTTGCTGTCGGTATGAGTTTACAGCTAGGCTTGTTAAAGTGGCAGTATATCAGGATTCAGAGGATAGTCTCTCTATTCCTCTGTTTTTACATTGAATGTACAGTGAGAATAAAGGAAAGGTGATAGTGACTATATAATGAAAATAGAGGAGAGGTAATGTGAGTGATCGATTGCTACAGAATCTGCACTCTCATTTTCTATTTTCCATGTTGTAGACAAAGATAAAGGCAGAAAAGTTTATAAATGATCATGAATATTCACTAGATGACACATTTGGGACCAAACAGTACACTGTGGTAAGGCTATCCATGCCTTCTTTGTAGATAATGGTTTGCTCCCTTTTTGTAACATCCATACACTTCAAGCCCCATAGGGAGATAAGTTGTTTTATTTTAATTTAATTTTTTATTTTTTTGAGTTGGAATCCACTTTGTTGCCCAGACTGGAGTGCAGTGGCACATTCACGGCCACTGCAGCCCCGACCTGCTGGGCTCAGGCAATTCTTCCACCTCAGCCTTCCAAGTAGCTGGAACTATAGGCATGTGTCACCCGCCCAGCTAATTTTTTGATTTATTGTAGAGACAGGGTTTCACCAAGTTTTCCAGGCTTGTCTTGAACCCCTGGACTCAGGCAATCCTCTCACCTCCACCTCCCAAAGTGCTGGGATTACAGGCGTGGGCCACTGCACCTGGCATGAATTGTTTTATATACTGTTCTTTGTCCCTTGAGGAGGCATTCTCTGACACCTAAGATTTAATCTGGGGCCCAGCTCTATAGGTATTCGTAGAATTTACTGCATTGGACTTAATTTTCTGGAGAGTAGCTGTTGTGTCTTAATACTTAACTTCATTATGGTAAATGGTATAGAACGCGGCACAAGGTAGGTTCTCAGTAAATATTTGTTGATTTAATGGAAGATTAGGTTATTACAGAAATTGACATTTGATGTCACCATTATTGTGAATTTGAATCCCAGTCCGTGTACTGTCTACTTTAATTCTTTTGGGTGGCCACAAATGAGAGTTTTCCCTCACATAATAGAGGACACAGATCATAAGGGAACTCCAGTGATAATATATAGGCAAATATATAAATCCTGCTTTTAAGAATGAAGTACTTACAGCTCCAGTCTATTTAAGAGGGGATAGTATCATAGAAGCAAAGAATAAAATGGTGCTTACTAGAGAGTGGAAAATGGGGGGTTGGTGAGATGTTGATCAAAGGACACACAATTTTAGTTAGGAAGGAAAAATAAATTCAAAAGATCTATTGCACAGCATGGTGACAACAGTTAATAATGTTTACTTAAATTGCTAAGAGATTTTAGGTGTTTTCACCACAAACCTATACATACGTGAGGTAATAATGCATATGTTAAATAGCTTGATTTAGCCATTCAACAATGTATACAATCGAGGAATATGTATCCAAGGGAACTATGTTCCAAGACCTCCAGTGGATGCCTGAAATTGTGGATAGTACCAAACCCTATATATATACTGTGGATAGTACCAAATATGTATATACTGTTTTCCTTATACTTACATATCTATGATTCATTTAGTTTATAAATTAGGCACAGTAAGATTAAGAACAATAATAGAACAATTATAAAAATATTCTGTAATAAAAGTTATATGGATGTGTTCTCGCTTTTGGAATGTCATTTTGTACTATATCCACCTTAGGTGAGAACTGCAACTAACTGAAACTTTGAAAAGCAAAACCATGGATAAGGGGGACTACTGTATATTTATCAAAATATCATGTATACCATAAGAACTATTTTGACTTGGAAATTCAAAACATAAAAATGTATGTGTGTGTATGCAAAGGGGGACCCCCCAAAAATGAATTGTTTTTTGAAAGGTGGGCTTCCCATGCTAGATAGGTATTCTAGGAACCCACCAGCGTCAGTGTACCACCTGGCATTGTTGTGAGAGAGTGCATTCGGCTTCAGTGAATTTTTTTTTTTTTTGGAGATTTTTTTGTGTTTGCCCATTTCATAATGGGAGATTTACAAGAGCACCTGCTGGCACTGTGCCGAGTGTTCAGTTTTTGACCAAAAACTGCATGACCCCTGTGCCCCACCTTCCCTATTCACCTGATCTTACCCCAAGCAACTTTTTTTGTTGTTGCCTTGATGTAAAAAGCCTTAAAGGGAAATGTTTTGCCAATGTGGAATAGGTGAAATGAAAAAAGGCAGAAGCACTAAAAGGCATCAAAACTGATAAGTTCAAAAACTATTTTAAGCAGTGAAAAAAAATCTTGATAACATCTTGATAAAAACGGAGAGTACTTTGAAGGTGATTGAAGTCTAAACATGGAATAATAAAAGCACAATTTTTTATAAATAAATTCTAAGTTTTTTGGGGGTCCCCCCGCCATGTGTGTGTGTGTTTGTGTTTGTGTGTGTGTGCACGCACATGTGTGTATAGGGGATAATGAAATTATTATTTTTTATATAAAAACGGAATAAATTGCTATACACAGAAAATAAAGCTGTGTTTTCATCCAAATGATTATTCACTTAAAATGTTTAATGTTTCAGGGATATGTTTGCTACTTTTCCACCAGTACTCATCGCCATACCAAATTTTATGCAGATGCAGTAGAAGCTGTAAAAGATATCCCTGATGGTGCGACGATTCTGGTTGGTGGTGAGTAACAGTATTTTTTTTTTTAAATGATAATGTCCTTATGCTTTTTAAATGAAGTAGGAAAATGGTGATGTATATTCATTATTTAATTTTATTGTGTATTATCTATTTTATTACATGTTTCCTTTTGGAAAGTTTAGCAAGGTTTAGCACTTAATATTTTACTTTTCTTTCCTTTTGTGTGTTTTTAAAAAATTATTTTGAATAACTGAAGCTTTTAAGTGGTGATATCTTTAGCTTTGAAAAATTCCAAGATCTTTGGGAATTGTGTTTAATTTAAAATATTTGGAAATTGTGTTTAACTTAAAACTGAACATTCAGCACGGTGTAAGCATTGCTTCTACCAGCTTATACCTATCCACTCCTTTTATTGATCCTTATTTTATGAGATAGAGAGCACATAGGCATCTTTCTGCTGTTGAGCATCCCACTGCCCAGTTGTATTGCTGCTGCATGTTTGTAATGTCTTTTAGAACCACTGCCTTACATTCATTAAACTCGCTACCCCATTCTTACAAACAGGAGTGAGTCTTATTTTTAGGGTTGTTCTTCATTCATTTAACTAAGTTATTGAATGTTCATTTTATGTCCAACATAATTTGAGGAATTGAGGAAAATGTAAAGAAATGAAATTTACCGGCCTAGGCTTCCAATTATTTCATGTAATAAAATAAACATGCTTGAAAAACTAACTGCATAAAGTTGTCTTATAAAGCAGGAAAATAATAGATATTTTACTAAGTGACAGGGGAGCAATGAATAGTCATATAAACTGGTTGATTTGGCTTTATATTTGTTGTTCAAAGTCTTGGCAATGATGTCTGGTGCTATATAATGCTACAAAACATTTGGCTACAGCAATATGGCCATTGATTGAGTTGCTGAGATATATCTGTGTATTTTGCTTTGTAGTTCTAATAATGTGATTATGTTGTTTCTTTTCTGTTAAAAATAGTAACACACATACTTTCCCAAAAGAACACTATTACCCTGTTCACAAATTTTTTGTCTTTTGGTCTCATTAGGTTTTGGGCTTTGTGGAATTCCAGAGAATCTTATAGGAGCTTTGCTAAAGACTGGAGTAAAAGGACTAACTGCAATCAGCAACAACGCAGGGTAAGTGTATATTTTTTAAAACAATTGATTGGAAAGAAATGGCAATTCTCAATAATATTTATCAATGATATAATATTAGTTATCAATGAAATGGATTTTCTCCTATTCCAAGCATCAAGAGATAGTGCTTAATAATGTCAAGAAAGGAGGTTACATTTGTTTAAATATTTTTGGTATCATCCTTCATAATTATAAGTTAGGTAGACTTGCTTTATCTTATGTAGTTTAAATATATAAATTAAGACTTTACATCTTAATCTGATATGTTTTTATTTTTCTAAGTTTAAAATATATTATTAGAGGTAGAATATGTATTTTCATATTGGATCTTGCATCTTAGAATTTAAAGAATTTCCTTTATGCTCTTTGTTATTATAGATAGATCATTATTTATAAAGCATGATGGATATCAGTTTTAAATCTGTTTCAAGCCCTTCTTTTGGTTATGCCATTATTCCAAATGATATATAAAGGAATACTATTAATCATAAAAATATTACTGGTTTTGGTAGAAAGTGGAGGATATGCAGCCAGCACTTAAAACAGTAGGATTACATGTCAAAATGGTCAACAATAAGCCATCGTTTTAATGTGGCATGCATATTAAAGTACATTTAGCTATATAAGAAAAAACTTCTTTTGTACAAAGTGGTGGTAAATCATCAGTTCTCTTTCAACAATTAAATAAAGACCTTAAAGATCTTAGAAAATCTGAAAAAGTCAGCTGGGAGTGGTGGCTAATGCCTGTAATCCCAGCACATTGGGAGGCTAAGGTGGGAGGGTTTCTTGAGGCCAGGAGTTCAAGACAAGACTTGGAAGCATAGCAAGACCCTGTATCTACAAGAAAAAAAAAATTAGCTATATATGTTGGTATATACCTGTAGTCCCTGCTACTAGGGAGGCTGAGGAGAAAGGATTGCCTGAGCCCAGGATGTCAAGGCTGTGGTTAGCCATGATTATGCCACTGCACTCTAGTACTGTGACAGAGGGAGACCCAGACTCAAAAAAAAAAAGAAAAAAAAATTTAGAAAAGTCATACAGTTGGCAGTTTAGCTTATTAGTATAAATACAACTTAGGATAAATAACACAGATAATTTAGGATATAAAACTGATGAGACATTTGTACTCATTTTTCTTTTTCTGAATTTGTTATTGTTTCCATCTGAAATACTGTACCACCTCTTCCCTGTCTATCCACATCCTTCCTGTTTTTCAGGATTTAACTCAAGTCACACATCCTCAAAGTAGACTTATCCAATTACAGAATTTTTCTAGTCTTCGTTGACCTTTCCCCTTTCTGAATAAGAGACTTTAACCTTTCTTTGCATATTGAATTTTATTTATCTTCAATGTATATTATATGATAGTTCAGTAGTTCTGTATTTTCTACTGTGCTTAGCCTATGAGTCTCAGAGTCACTGAGTGTTGGAGCTGGACAAGATTATAGAGATCATCTGTTCCAGTTCCCTTTTTTAATAGAGGAAATTTATCTGTAAACAGAGAAGCAACTTGTTCTGGATAATTTGATGTTACTTAAACACATCCTATGTTATTTAAGGCGAATTTGTATATATTATAAATACTTCTGATTATCATTGCTTTGTTGGGTTTTTCAGTTAGCTCTATGCTTTCAAGGGATATAGCAAATCAGTATAAATTCTTGATGCAGAGTAGGTGCTGATAACCTACTTAACTGAACACAAAGAAAGTACTTTGTAAAGCCTCATTGGTAGCTGATTATCTTAATTAGGAGGATTTAAATCCTAGGGGTCTACAGCAATGAGGGCCTTGTTTTGACCGTTAGAATCAGATACATGAGGATGACTTAGTGATGGTTTATTGGAGAACCAGTGATGTGGTTTGAATTGTTTGGGTAAATGGAGAGAACTTGGAATTAAAAGTAATAACTTTTCTAGTTGATCTCATAGAAATACAGAGTAGAATAGTGGTTATTAGAGGCTGGGAAGAGTAGTGGGGAGCAAGGGATAGGAAAAGGTTGGTTAATGGATACAAATTACAGCTAGATAGAAGGAATAGGTTCTAGAGTTCTCTAGCACTGTAGGGTGGCTATAGTTAGCAATAATTGTGTATTTTCAGGTAGCTAAAAGAAAGAATTTTGAATGATCCCAACACAAAGAAATATTCGAGGTGATGAATATACTAATTACCCTGATTTGATCATTACACATTGTATACAAGTATTAAAATACCACGCCATACCTCAAATATGTACAACTATGTATCAGTTAAATGATAATAAAAAACCACTGTGCTGCTTTGTGGGTAGTATATAGATTCCTTATCATTGGGTGTTCCCAATTTCTCACTCCTATACTTTATAACATTGCTGTCATTCATTTCACGTATTCAGGAGCTATGGATACATTGGTACTATTATGATTTTGAACAATTGCCTATTAGATCAATTAAGAATAAAATAAGATACGTTTTACCTTTTAAAAAGACAATTAATAATAATTTTCTCGTTTGGAAAGAGAGGAAGGATCTGTCTGAATTGGAAGTCTTTCCAAAGTTCAAGGTTCCTGGTTATATGTCTAAGTTTGTTGCTTTAATATATTGATATCTATTGTTATTGGGTATCATTTACCTTGATATGAAGTACTAACTACTAGCCTTGATGATATAAACCCTCCTTTGGGGTCACTCAGCTGGATTAATGCTTTGATATGGGTTGATTAGAAAGGTAGGAAAAATTGATAATGTGCCTTTCTTTCCAGGCTGGAGTGCAGTGGTACAATCATGGCTCACTGCAACCTTCACCTCCTGGACTCAGGAGATCCTTCTGCCTCAGCCTCCTGAATAACTGGTTCTACAGGTGTATGCTGCCACGCCTGACTAATTTTTTGATTTTTTGATTTTTTTTTTGGTAGAGACTGGTCTCATTATGTTGCTCAACCTGGTCTTGTACTCCTGGGCTAAAGCAATCTCACCTTGAATTTCCAAAATGCTGGAATTATGGGTGTGAACCACCATACCTACCCGAGAATTTGCTCTTAATTGATTTTTGGAGGACTTTGACATGAGTTACAAGCCAATATGAACCAAAGTCTTTGCAATAAACTATATGTTAACCAATTAAGTCGCTCATTTTTTCATGAAATATTATTTTAGTCTACAGTTCTAGATGGGTGGAGATTTAAATGACTCCAGAGTCATCTACTTACGTGTGGATGACTAATAACTCTGGTAATTTATATTTATCTGCACTTGTAGTTACTTGTATATAGTACTGTATTGGTCAGGCTGTATAGTAGTGTTTTAAGGGCTGGAGAAAATGAGCAGACTCTCACAATCGATAATAGCATGTCTGATGCTGCACCAGTGACTTTGAACCTGGAGGTAAAGGCAAGTGTCCTCTCTTCTGTGCCCTCTTTCCTTTTTGTTGAGGCTGCTGTAGCTCCCAATAACTCAATAGGCCACCTTGGCTGATTATTCACATTGGTTATTTTGTCTAGGAAGGGCTAACCACTTCTTGGGATGTGTACTTGAACTGCTGCCCTCAGCTCATGGAAGATTTCATTTATCTCATATAACCATCGTAGTCTTCCCTTATTCAAGGGAGATGTGTTCCAAGACCACCAGTGATTGCCTGAAAGCATGGATAGTACCGAACCCCATGGCCACCAGTCAGAACACATTTCTCTCCATATCTTCCACCCCCAAATTTAATGCCTTTTCCATTTTAACTAAACACTTATCATGCACTATGGCCATAACTTTTGCAATTTGAGGAGCAACAGCAAAACTAGCACAGATTCTTTTTTCTTTATTATTTTACCAAGAGAAAAATGTGTTCTTGCTGTAAATTTTAGCAACCTCAGTGTATGATTTTTTTTTCTTTCTTTATTTGAGAACTTATACCTTTTTCACTTAAAGTTTGCGGCTTCTCTTTGGCATAAATTGTCATCATTACTTCTCTTGTACTCTGTGGCCATTATGAAGTAAAGTAAATGTCATTTGAATCTAAGCACTGGCCTTCAATAAGTAAAATAAGGATTATTTGAACACAAGCATTACAATACCATGACATTTCCTCTGATCACCTTGACTGGCTACCAAGTGCCTAATGGCAGGTAGCATATACAGCATAGATACACTGGACAAAAGGAGGAATCACATCCCGGGAAGAATGGTGGGGGATTTCATCACACCACTCAGAACTGTGCACAATTTAAAATGTATGAGTTGTGCATTTCTGTAATCTTCCATTGAATATTTTTTGACTGTAGTTGACCACAGGTAACTGAACTGCAGAAAAAGAAAATAAGGATAAGGGAGATATTATCTTATGCCATAAGTTAACCTTATATTTAAATATAGCCTTTTATTTTGAGGCTTTTGATTAGAGTAAATATAATTGTGTAATCGAGATTTCAGTATGTCTAAAAGTAAACAAGAGAAATACAATTTGGTAAAAAATTCAACTTCATTTTTGTTAGAGTTTTGATAAGAATTGCCAATTAATGAGATTTCAGAAAATGAAAATCAGCAAATTAAATTCCAGATTCAAAAAATGAGAGTAATTGTAAAACATTGATATCTTCCAAGCAATATCATTTTGCTTTATGTTAATGTATCTCTTTAATGAATTCTTAGCTTTGAACTTCTCAGCCTTGACCTCCTGGGCTAAGGTGATTCTTCTGCCTCCACTTCCCAAAAAGCTGGGACTAAAGGTCTATGGTGCCTAGGCTAATCTCGAACTCCTGGGCTCAAACAATCCTCTTGGCTCAGCCTCCCAGAGTGCTAGGATTATGGGAGTGAGCTACCACACTCAGCCTAGACTTCTCTTGGTCACTAAAATATTTTAAACCCAACTTTGTTGTGTGCAGAAAAAAGACCAAATCTCTGCCTTTAAATGTGCTAGAAAAATGTTGGCCACTAAAGGCAAGCAACATCAGAAAGTCCATCAGCATTACTTTTAGTATTAAAGAGCTACAAGATGCTTTAATATATATCTCTCTATTAGAAATGTTTCTCA